CATTCGATGTATTGAACGGATGTGGGTGGAACAATGTCTACATAAGGGTGCAAATTAAAAACACACAAAAGCTCTGACGAAGGCCTTGAGGCCGATACGTAAAGCTTAATAAAGAGCAGTGATACTAGCAAGAGCAGTGTACAGGTTTTGTATTTTTCTCACCTTAATTCTGTCACCAAACTTTGCGTCTGCACAGTTCTTCCAGTAAATGTGTTTTTGTGAAATGCTCTGTGTCAATTGTTCAAAGTAGTCCTTGTGCATAGAGTTGTATGGTTTATTATACTTTGAAATCAATGTTTTCTGTTTAAAGTGAAAAATCTTAGCATCAAAGCGTAATTCCGTTACCGTGGAATTGCCCTAGGTTATGTGTTGCCAATACTAGTCGTGGACTAGCTATCTAGCCTACATCACATGGACACACATTCATGATGTTATGTGTATTTTGTCTGAATATGTCCAGAGGACCACCATGCAACAACCTGGGGTGTGGACCCAGAATCTGGGAGGGGGAAGCATGAGCAAGACGGACTCATCATTGACTGCTGCTAGCCAAACCAGCTGACAGTAATGCATGCTCATGTGCAGGGTAAAAATAGGTTACTGTGTAAAATATGCATAGAATACATGTTAATAGCTTAATCTGCATGAAATATGCACGTCTGTATATGAACAACTTGAAACATGCGATTCCTGTTACCATAAATCTTATACCAAATTTAAGCAATTTAGTTAGGCACTCCAATTCGTATACCACCCCGAACAGATCGCACAATCTCTGTTGCACTCCACACTGCCCTCACCCACCTGGACAAAAGGAATACCTATGTAAGAATGCTGTTCATTAACTACAGCTCAGCATTCAACACCATAGTCCCCTCCAAGCTCAAGACCCTGGGACTGAACACTTCCCTCTGCAACTGGATTCTGGACTTCCTGACGTGCTGCCCCCAGGCGGTGACTGTAGGCAACAACACATCCACCATGCTGACCATCAACACTGGGACCCCTCAGGGGTGTGTGCTTAGTCCCTCTTGTACTCCCTGTTCACCCATGACTGTGTAGCCGCACATGACTCCAACACCATCAAGTTTGCTGACGACACGACGGTGGTAGGACTGATCACAGACGACTATGAGGCAGCCTATAGGGAGAAGGTCAGAGAACTGGCAGTGTGGTGCCAGGACAACAACCACTCCCTCAATGTCAGCAAGACAAAGGAGATTATCGTGGACCACAGAAAATGGAGGGGCGACCACGCCCCCATCCACATTGATGGGGCTGTAGTGTAGCATGTCGAGAGCTTCAAGTTCCTCTGTGTCGACATCACTAATGAATATGGGCCACACCCACACAGTTGTGACGAGGGCAAGACAGCTGATTGATGCAGCACTCCATCAATCTCCTTGGTCAAATAGCCCTTACACAGCCTGGAGGTGTGTTGGGTCATTGTCCTGTTGAAAAATAAATGATAGTCCCACTAAGCCCAAACCAGATGGGATGGCGTATCGCTGCAGGATGCTGTGGTAGCCATGCTGGTTAAGTGTGCCTTGAATTCTAAATAAATCACTGACAGTGTCACCAGCAAAGCACCCCCACACCATAACACCTCCTACTCCATGCTTTACGGTGGGAACTACACATGCAGAGATCATCCGTTCACTCACACCGTGTCTCACAAAGACACAGCGGTTGGAACCAACAATCTCCAATTTGGACTCCAGACATAAAGACACATTTCCACCTGTCTAATGTCCAATGCTTGTGTTTCTTGGCCCAAGCAGGTCTCTTCTTCTCATTGGTTTCCTTTTAGTAGTGATTTCTTTGCAGCAATTCAACCATGAAGGCCTGATTCACACAGTCCCCTCTGAACAGTTGATGTTGAGATGTGTCTGTGACGAACTCTGTGAAGCATTTATTTGGGCTGCAATTTCTGAGGCTGGTAACACTAATGAACTTATCCTCTGCAGCAGAGGTAACTGGGTCTTCCATTCCTGTGGTGGTCCTCGTGAGAGCCAGTTTCATCATAGCGCTTGATGGTTTTTGCGACTGCACTTGAAGAAACTTTCAAAGTTCTTGATATTTTCCGTATTGACTGACCTTCATGTCTTAAAGTAATGATGAACTGTCGTTTCTCTTTGCTTATTTGAGCTGTTCTTGCCATAATATGGACTTGGTCTTTTTCCAAATAAGGTACCTTCTGTATACCACCCCTACCTTGTCACAACACAACTGATTGGCTCAAACGCATTAAGAAGGAAAGAAATTCCACAAATTAACTTTAAGGAAGGCACACCTGTTAATTGAAATGCATTCCAGATGACTACCTCATGAAGCTGGTTGAGAGAATGCCAAGAGTGTGCAAAGCTGTCATCAAGGCAAATGGTGGCTATTTGAAGAATCTCAAATATATTTTGATTTGTTTAACACTTTTGTGGTTACTACATGATTCCATATGTGTTATTTCATAGTTTTGATGTCTTCATTATTATTCTATAATGTAAAAATAAAGAAAAACCCTTGAATGAGTAGGTGTGTCCAAACTTTTGACTGGTAGTGTATGTACATAGCTACCTCAATTACCTCATACCCCTGCACATCGACTCGGTACTGGTAGTCCCTGTATATAGCCATGTTATTTATACTCGTCATTGTTATTCACTGTGTTTATTCCTTGTCACTATTTCTATAAATATATATATTATTTTTTAAATCTTAAACTCTGCATTGTTGAAAAAGGACCCGTAAGTAAGCATTTCACTTTTAGTCTAAACCTGTTGTTTTACTAAGCATGTGACAAATAAAATTTGATTAAAAAATAAAAATGTCCTGGAAAACTGAAAGTTCCATAGATAAGTGTTCTTAAAAAAGATAGAAGAGAACCTGCCGAAGTTGTCTCTAGTTGAAGATTCCTCTTCTGTTATGTTAGGGAGTATCCTAGTTCCCTAGTAGTATTTGGAGGGATCCATTTGTGCTTAGTACAGCAAGTCTTTGCATACCTCTGTACTGCACATAGCCTAGGCCTCCCACACTTAAATCCTTTGAGTTTGGCAACCAACCACCACCGTCTTTACCCCTCCCTTTGTTTGTGTGTGTTGACTTCCTCATAACTGGCCTTAAAGGGATACTTCGGGATTTTGGCAATGAGGCCCTTTGTTTCAGATGAACTTGTGGATACCATTTCTATGTCTGTGTCCAGTATGAAGGAAGTTAGAGGTAGTTTCGCAAGCCAATGCTGACTAGCCTTAACGCAATGACTTGAAGTATATGGGTATCTGCTAGCTGCGCTGCGCTAGAAAATCCCTTTAAGTATCCCTTTAAGTCAAACTGTAGGGTCTTAATGAACACGTAACCTGAAAGCCCTGTCTGTAAGTATGCATCATCTAGACAGAAGCTGAGGCATGCCAGCAGTGTTTATCATATCAGGTAAAGGAAAAAACGAATCTCAAAAACTGCCCTGCCCTGCTGTAACAGGCCTGATGCAGTCTGACCAATTGCCTTTTTGCTGCTTGTTCTATCAGAGTAGATACCAGGGGGATGAGTTTGGCTCATTTCAGACATGGCTGACCTGTCTGTTGAGATGTCAGAGGCTAAGCCGAGACCCCTTTTCAGGCCAGCCCGTCGGTCTTTTTCATAAACTCCCATTACTGATAAGTTTGAGAACCAGGCTTGAAAGGAGTGCTAGCGAGGACTCTTAATACTTAATTGTTGCAAGGGAGAATGTTCTGGTATGATATTGGGGCGGCAGGTAGCTTAGTGGTTAAGAGCGTTGTGCCAGTAACCGAAAGGTCGCTGGTTCTAATCCCCGAGCCGACTAGGTGAAAAATCTGTCGATGTGCCCTTGAGCAAGGCACTTAACCCTAATTGCTCCTGTAAGTCGCTCTGGATAAGAGCGTCTGCTAAATGACTTAAATGTAAATGTAAATGTTATATTCACGCTTCGTCAGTCTAAGTTGGTTACTTCTGGTGTGCCCCCTCCCTTCGCCAACATCATTAAGGACTGTTGTGAGAACCGTTTTTCACAGCATTCCATTTTCAAATGAACCCACAGACGGCGCACACACAGTTCAATAGAAACACAAGGTCAATTTTCCAGATTCCTCTAAATTAAGCTATTATGATGTGTGTCTGTAGCTGGGGGACAATCTCCTACTGCAGGGATAGGCAACTGTCAGAGTTGATGGTCAGGGGGCCGGAACAAAATGTGTATCATTTGTACACTACAAATTGACCACAAGTAAGCCCAAAAATAGATAATTTTGCATTGAGACACGATCACAAAAAGCACATGGAATTGGATATTTCAAGTCACATTTCAAACGACCTTCGTAAGTGGCTTGAAGTCGGATACAAATCTGATTCCTGGCCATATGACATGTGGCTGAGTGGTCAAATCTGATTTTATTTCACCTAAAGACAGTTATTTTGCATTTCTTGTTGCTTGCTAGCTACTCTGTTGACAGCTACCACATTCTTGTCAAACTAACTAGTTTGTTCATTGTTTACAAACAAATTAGTGAACGAGCTAGAAAGCTAACCAGCTAGCTAGCTAGTTGACTGCTGTAGCTTGCCAAAAATGACTTGTTTTGAAAGTTGGATCATCTTATCCTTTTGAGGCTTTAAGTGTTCTTACACTATGATTTTAAACATTCAAAAGCAACTGGGAAACGTCCATGGCAGGCATTGTCACCTTAGTTTGCTACATAACTTCTTAGTGATCGTAACCATGAGCACCACCACCAATCAGCCTACACTACCCGTCGTGGCTGTGACAACTAGCGTAGTCATGTCAGCAAATGACTGCTGTCTGAACACACACAAATCCAATTTGGTCACTTGTAACTTGCTGTTTAGACAGTCAGTATTCCAAAACCGATTTGAATAACTAAAAAAACTGATTTGAGCATTAAGGCCTGCAGTGTGAACAAGGCTTTTGTCGACTGTGCCTGTTTATTTTTGCATCTCCCAAACAGCCTGTCTGTTTCCCTCCCTGATGTAGAGCAATGGTGTGTGTGACTCCATTGGCCCTCTGTCTGAATGAAGTGGCTGCACTCAGCAGTATGGCTCTCTGTGTTTGACCAGTGACGCTGTCCCCTCAATCAAAGGGGCATTGTGCCCTAAGGCCTGGACAAAGGCTGGGGGATAGAGCTGAAGGATGGGGCTGGGGCGCAGAGAGTGGCAGACCTGGGCCCTATCAGGGACTATTTGTTTTGGGGGGTGGGAGGTTATCTAGGGTGAGTAGGGGAGGGATCTATTTTACCCCCTGTCCATAGCTCTTCCTGTGTCTGGAGGGAGCTATGGGGTACATGCCAAAAACATGTGGCTCTCATTTCTGCCCTAGTTTCAATTGTCTAAGCATTAGGTGCTTCACCTCCTGGAAACTCTCTCTCAACCTGTTTCAACTCCCCCAAAGTTGGTAGTCATGGATTCTAATTCTCTTGCTCACTGTCTGTTTCACTCCTTTTATTTTTCTTGTTTTTTAATCTCCAATCAAAAAAATGGGATCCTTCACCAGATGTATACTGAACATTAATATAAACGCAACAATTTCAAAGATTCTACTGAGTTACAGTATATATAAGGTAATCAGTCAATTTAAATAAATTCATTAGGGCCTAATCTATGGATTTCACATGACTGGGAATACAGATATGCATCTGTTGGTCACATATACCTTAAAAAAAAAAAAAAGTTATGTGCATGGATCAGAACCAGTCAGTATCTGGTGTGACCACCATTTGCCCATGCAGCGCGACACATCTCCTCCGCATAGAGTTGATTAGGCTGTTGATTATGATCTGTGGAATGTTGTCTCACTCCTCTTCAATGGCTGTGCGAAGTTGCTGGATATTGGCGGGAACTGGAACACGCTATCGATCCAGAGCATCCCAAACATGCTCAATAGGTGACATGTCTGGTGAGTGTGCAGGCCATGGAAGAACTGGGACATTTTCAGCTTCCAGAAATTGTGTACAGATCCTTGCGACATGGGGCCGTGCATTATCATGTTGAAACATGAGGTGATGGCGGCAGATGAATGGCACGACAATGGGCGTCAGGATCTCGTCACGGTATCTCTGTGCATTCACATTGCCATCGATAAAATGCATTTGTGTTCGTTGTCTGTAGCTTATGCCTGCCCATACCATAACTCCACCGCCACCATGGGGCACTCTGTTCACAACGTTGACATCAGCAAACCGCTCGCCCACACAACGCCATACACGTGGTTTGCGGTTGTGAGGCTGGTTGGACGTACTGCCAAATTCTCTAAAACAACGTTGGAGGCAGCTTATGGTAGAGAAATGAACATTCAATTCTCTGGCAACAGCTCTGGTGAACATTCCTGCAGTCAGCATGCCAATTGCACGCTCCTTCAAAACTTGGGACATCTGTGGCATTGTGTTGTGACAAAACTGCACATTTTAGAGTGGCCTTTTATTGTCCCCAGCACAAGGTGCACCTGTGTAATGATCATGCTGTTTAATCAGCTTCTTGATATGCCACACCTGTCAGGTGGATGGATTATCTTGGTAAAAGAGAAATGCTCACTAACAGGGATGTAACCAAATTTGTGCACAAAATCTGAGTGAAAAAAGCTTTTTGTGCATATGGAACATTTCTGGGATCTTTTATTTCAGCTCATGAAACATGGGACCAACACTTTACATGTTGCCTTTATATTTTTGATCAGTGTATATTTAAAAGATCAAAAACACCAATTCTAAGAATAATCATTGCAATAAGCTGCTTTAGCTACATCTTTGCGTATTTGGGAAGGCAGGTAGTTTAGTGGTTAAGATCATTGTGCCAGTAACCGAAATGTCGTTGGTTCTAATCCCACGAGCCGACTAGGTGAAAAATCTGTCGACGTGCCCTTGAGCAAGGCACTTAACCCTAATTGCTCCTGTAAGTCGCTCTGGATAAGAGCGTCTGCTAAATGACTAAAATGTAATGTACTGTAGCCTATGTAGACAAATGTGAAGCCACAGGCTAGTGGTCTGCATCTACTGACCTTATACATTCAGCATCTGCAATCTCCCAGAGGGAGTGTGAAGATTTACAGCCTCATGGAACAGTGTGTGTGTGTGTGTGTGTGTTGGTTTTATTATCCTTGTGGGGACATTTCTCTGGTCCCCACAAGAAGAAAGGCTATTTAGGGTTAGAATTAGGCTTAGGGATTTGTGGTTAATGTTAAGGGTTGGGGTTAGGGAAATAGGATTTTTTGTGGGAATCAATTGTTTGGTCCCCACAAGGATAGTAAAATAAATGTGTGTGTTACTCCATCGCACTGCTCTCTTAATGACCCAGCTGCCACAGGACACGTTGTCGTTCTTACGCTGTTACACTTCCTAGTCTTCCGACGTATTCACTCAGCTATTTCTAATGGGAATGTGAGATAACAAGTTTCCAAGACACCTGACCGACTGCCATTTTACCACTCTGTGTCACTGTCAGTGACGTTGACCACTACGGAATGTCCTGGAGCCTGCTTACAAAAGTTATTTTAAACCTGATGAGTTAAATTGTAACTATCAGATCAAATTTTATTGGTCACATACACGTGTTTAGCCGATGTTATTACGGGTGTAGCGAAATGCTTGTTTCTAGCTCCGACAGTGCAGTAATATCTAACAAGTAATATCTAACGATTTCACAACATATACACACAAATCTAAGTAAAGCAATGGCATTAAGAATATATAAATAAATATATGGACGAGCAATGTCAGCGCGGAATAGACTAAGATATAGTATAGAATACAGTATATACATATGAGATGAGTAATGCAAGATATGTAAACATTATTAAAGTGACTAGTGTTCCATTTATTAAATTGCACCGTTCCACTCTAGATTAGTTTTAACTCAAGGATGTATACCACTCCTCTGACTGAATTTAAATTTAAGTTGTGCCATGCTTTCCACCAGCATCAATGTACTGAACCATAAAGCATTGTTGTAGTTTGAAATACTTTAGTTGAAATTCGACACATTCCATTAACTGCGACGTGTGTGCGGATGTGCATGTTCTATTTTTAAACACTCAATTCATCCTCAGTTGGCGTTGTAGTAATCGGTCACAGGGAACTGTTTTTCAAATTGAGGAATGAAGATGACACGATTTAGTAATTACTCCAGCAGTTAGCTCCCCTGACTGGAGAAAACACTCTGAATGCGTGTCTGTTTTGTTTGCATCCCCTCTGCCTCCAACTAAATCTACCAAGACTTGTATTTTCTAAACAAGGCAACATGTACTGGAGTCTCCAGAGACACTGGATGCATTCATAATTCAACCCGCTCCTTTTGTCTTTTCCTCCTGTCCCCCACTGGCTGTTGTCTGTTGTCTGTGGTTCCCATGGAGGTGTTATCAGGCTCCCTGGACTGGCCTGGGATGCTGCCTATCAGCCCGTCTCCAGAGACTGCATCTGCCTCCCCGTCCTGTCGCCAGCACACGGCACACACTGTCCCTAAGAAGTGTGTGTGTGTGTCCAATGAGAGCACAGGGGAGTGGGGAGGAGGGACTTGAGAGGGGGCACTGTTATCTGACTGTCCAGGGTGCTTAGATAAATTAACTCCCATCTTCAAGGGATGGCAAAAGGAGAGGGGGATGGAGGGAAGGAGAGTGGATGGAGAGAAGGTGGGTAGTTGGTGGTGGGGGTGGTAGTAGTGTTTTATCTCCAGACCAGAGACCGAGGCTTAGACAAGCAGCAGTTGTTGAAAGTCTACAGCTCTGACACCTTGTAAGATTATAATGCAGAGCAGTTTACAGTGAGGGAAAAAAGTATTTGATCCCCTGCTGATTTTGTACGACTGCCCACTGACAAAGAAATGATCAGTCTATAATTTTAATGGTAGGTTTATTTGAACAGTGAGAGACAGAATAACAACAAATAAATCCAGAAAAATGCATGTCAAAAATGTTATAAATTGATTTGCATTTTATAATAATAATATGCCATTTAGCAGACGCTTTTATCCAAAGCGACTTACAGTCATGCGTGCCTACATTTTCTGTGTATGGGTGGTCCCGGGGATCGAACCCACAACCTTGGCATTACAAGCGCCATGCTCTACCAGCTGAGCTACAGGGAAGTAAGTATTTGACCCCCTCTCAATCAGAAAGATTTCTGGCTCCCAGGTGTCTTTTATACAGGTAACGAGCTGAGATTAGGAGCACACTCTTAAAGGGAGTGATCCTAATCTCAGCTTGTTACCTGTATAAAAAGACACCTGTCCACAGAAGCAATCAATCAATCAGATTCCAAACTCTCCACCATGGCCAAGACCAAAGAGCTCTCCAAGGATGTCAGGGACAAGATTGTAGACCTACACAAGGCTGGAATGGGCTACAAGACCATCGCCAAGCAGCTTGGTGAGAAGGTGACAAGTTGGTGGATATCGCAAATGGAAGAAACACAAAAGAACTGTAAATCTGCCTCGGCCTGGAGCTCCATGCAAGATCTCACCTTGTGGAGTTGCAATGATCATGAGAATGTGTGCAAACCTGGTGGCCAACTACAAGAAACGTCTGACCTCTGTGATTGCCAACAGGGGTTTTGCCACCAAGTACTAAGTCATGTTTTGCAGAGGGGTCAAATACTTATTTCCCTCATTAAAATGCAAATCAATTTATAACATATTTGACATGTGTTTTTCTGGATTTTTTTGTTGTTATTCTGTCTCTCACTGTTCAAATAAACCTACCATTAACATTATAGACTGATCATGTCTTTGTCAGTGGGCAAACGTACAAAATCAGCAGGGGATCAAATACTTATACGTTTCCCTCACTGTATAAATAAGCAGCTATTCCTCCCAAGGCCATGGTCTTAGGGAGTCAATGGAATAAGGAGTCTCTCACCTTTTGATTACTGGACCATTTAAGTGTTTGTGTGTGAGTGGGTGAGGCTAGAGGCATCTTGTACTTTTCACTGCTTATTTACTTATTTACATTATCCAAGTCTGATTAGCATATTACCTCTTAACAAGAAAAACTGCAAATGTATTCTTAAGTGAAGTAGGCTACTTGCGGCTGTGCCCTTTAACAGCTCTGAGCTGAAGTGGCCCTGCTACTACTTTATTAGCTACTACCACTAGGCCTTCACTACTACACACACACCTATTTCTCAGGGCAGCAGAGACAGGCTGTTGGTAGTAATAATTCCAGGCTCCTTGGTAAGGCAGGTCAAGGTTGTCACAGCTGAGGTCAGTGTCATGATGATGTCCTCCTGATATCTCATTGTCAGCTCTGTAACGTAACCCTTAAAACAATGTCTGGATGTCTCCTGAATGGATGCTCATTCAATCCAGTGGCACTAAATGCATACACTCCCATAGGCATGCGTTCCTCAGTGCTCTGTTTTAATGTACTGTAGTGGGGAAGTAAAACGTATGTTATTTGTCACATGCTTGTCTGTTAACGTTCAATTATGTCCAAACAGCCTTCAGGTCATTCGCTCTGAGAATTGCTGACATTGCCATGTGGGTAGCTGACTAGCTGAGCTTTCAGCCTGCATTATAGCGCATTGTGTATTCAACAACCAGCTAGCCAGCCCTCTTGCTGTGGCTAGCTGACTAGCTGAGCTTTCAGCCGGCATTATAGTGCATTGTGTATGATTCAACAACCAGCCAACACAAAACAAACCACAACCCGCTCACACTGAACGCATGCAGATTTGCAATAAATTTGATTGGCTTCACTCTCTGGGGAGCTGGTTGGCGGTTGGTGGAGAAGCGTTCACGTTCGACAGTTCTAGTGCCATGAAGTCATCTCCGTAATGCACAGGCCAGGCGGCGGAGTTGACACGCTTCAACACGGTCACAGAGGGTCTGTGAGCAGAGCGTTAATGAAAGAAGTGTTATCAGTAGCTGTTTAATTTGCTCGCTACAGGGGCCCCAGACTGCCATGAGAGCTTAATCCCACCAGAGCAGCAACAGAACAGACTCTCAGCCCACCCAGCCAGCCACGCTCGCTATTCAAAAGTCCTGTCACTGAGGGCTCTACTCAGCCAAGAAAGGAAGAAGCTCCTATCTATCGCGGCCCTAAAATAACTCCCTCTTGTATTCAAAATTGTTCTGTAAAAGAACGAAGACCAAAACTCTGTTTTAGAAAACGACAGGCTCGTTAAATTCACAGGCGGTATCTTGCTGTCACAGCGTGAGGAGCAGGCTGTTGTCTTCTTACCAGATCCACAAACATATTCCCCCTCAAACACACACACACACACACTTGTCAGTCACCCACTTTTCTTCTTAACAGAAGAATTGTAGCTAGCAAGACCTTTCTCTCAATGTAATACGGCTGTAACTTGGTGTTTTTACATAAACGGACAGAGACATGCTCTTCATGAGACAATTTTACAGAGATACAAAGGCTACCTCAACAAAAGTAAACACACACAAGCAAACACACTCTCACCCTGCCTGACATGCTTTAATTCTCTACATCCTTGTTTACACGTTGTTAGCCCTGGAGCCTGAAATAGCCTGGTCCTAGAGACCTATAGCCTCACTGTCTATAAGACACATACACACACTGTGAGGCTCCGTTGGGTCAAAAAGTGGGTTGAGAAAGAGGCTTATTGTCTGTGGTAGCCCCAGCCAGCCCATGCAGCCAACGGTTGATCGGAGGTCTTTATCTTGGCTAGCAGAGCAGGGCAGATAGACACTGTCAGACTGTCGTTGGGCTTTAGCCTCTAGGGTTTATTAGTGTCTGTTTTGGGTCTAGTGTTGCTGCTGCTACTCCCACTGCTGCACCGCTTAAACTCACTTCCTGCTCTAAGACCTCTCAGGATCAAACCGGTTCAATGACTTACAGATGCCAGCCAACGACATTATGAAATATTGTAAGTCGATAAGAGAACAGAACAGCATTACACTACTTGTAGAATCTGTTCTACTGTGAGGACATGATGCTGCGCCAGTCATATCACAGACACTGGCATGTGTTGTCTCAGTATTTTATCTGTGTACAAGTGCATAGGCACTGAGAATGTTATCTGTGCTAGAAAATAGTCATTTTTGTCTTAGTATAGTAGTTAGCTGTGTAGGGTGCATAGGCACAGAAAATCTGGAATATACTGAACAATAGTCGCCTCTTGACTGACATTATTTTAATCATGGATATATTTGAAGGACAACTGAAAACCATGGTTTTGGCACTTCAATTTGTGGGTGCTTTCATTGCGCTCTATCCTCCAGGCCCCTGTTTTAAGATGATCTCAGTTTTAATACAGGCATCTCCCTCCCTTGACTGGATCCAGCTGATGATTCTTCCTTCCTTTACCACAAAGATAATAAACCTCTGCGCAACATGTCATTCTTTCACAAATCCCCATTCTTCCTTCCTCCCCCTGCTTAGCCTTTCTCTCTCTTCTTTCACCTTCCCCCTCTCCTCTCTCCTCTGCCTTTCTCTCTCTTCTTTCACCTTCCCCCTCTCCTCTCTCCTCTGTCTCTCAAGTGTCATAGCGGCAGCAGCATTCTTGGTAGGATCAGTTGCCAGGAGACAGGATTCTCTCCCCATTGTGCTGTGATAAAGGGGGTCTACAATCTGCACGACTGGGGAGAATCAGGGGCCCTGGGGACCTACACTCTACAATCAGGGGTGTAGGTGGGTAGGGCTGCTGGGGGGACAGAGGGAGGACTAGAGGGGATACAGGGTGGGGTTGGGGGGGCTCTGACATACAATTCCCGTTAGCCAGTGCTGGTCGCAATGTAATCCTGCTGGGATGTGCTGTGTCAGACAGACACAATTTGTGGGGGAGAGGAGCCAGTCACTCAGTCACATGGAGGGAAGCAGGCATGAATAGTCATTCGAGGAGTTTTTAATTAGCTAGTCAGTGTAACTCCGTTCCCACTGTTCGCTCCCCTCCCCCTCTACACACACACACACTCAACACACCACCGCAACAGGAGGCAGACAGTTCCTAACTAATGTGGTCACAATTTTTCAAGGATTGTGTGTACATTTACCCACATTTACCAGCAGGTTAATCTTCATAGTGGTCCTTTTCTTGAGACCGTAGTAATAGGTTCTCTTATCACCCTCTATTTGCCATTAGAGCAGAGCCGTTTCCCTGAGCTAGGCTGCCATTACTCTGAATAAAGACTGAAGGACATCCCATAATATTACCCATTGATTACACACACACACACACACACACATAGCCCTATCTCACTGGGCCTCAGTCAAAGCACAGTGGAATAAAGGCAATTTCCCAATCACTTGCCTGTGTGTGTTCAGTGTTAATCACTAACTACCAACCTCCCCGTCTGTTTGTGTCAGTGTTATGTAGGGTAGGCTGTTTTGTTACTCTGCTATAAGTGAGTGTTGTATCAAGGGGATTATAGCATTAACTAATTATGTTGAAATTATGTTCCAGCTGTTGGAACATCCACGTGTCATAGAACCATAGAACAGTTCTCTCTGGCAGCGCTGGGTTCCACATACTTAGTTAGAATTGTTGTCCTTCATTGTTATGGCTCTAGTTGCCGCGTGAAAGGATCTAGCATAATCTATCCGCCACCACTTTCATTGTCCTTAAATATATATTGTGTTTCATCGTTATTTACTTGGCAGGAATTTATTTCCTATCGGCTTATCTAGCAGATAATCTTTGGTCAGAGCTCATTGTCATGCTACACCATGTGATGCCAGTTAATTCCCATTCTATTGCTTGTTTATTAAAATGATTGTTTAGTGGGCTCATATCTCCAATCTCCATTACAAAAAATTTAATGGTCTATGAAAGCCACAGCCATCTGTATGTTTTTATATGTAGTGTTAAAGTGTGGAGGATGTCCTGAATGTCTTTTCACTACCTTCATTACCAAGGGACTTGAACAGTGGAGAATATAGAGTGATGGCTCATAACCCATTAGCTTCACTTGCATTTTTATGTATATTATTGGCTAATCAAAAATCAGAGCCACTGGGATTTTTGCCCATTCTTCAAGGCAAAATGGCTCCAGCTCCTTCAAGTTGGATGGGTTCCGCTGGTGTACAGCAATCTTTAAGTCGTACCACAGATTCTCAATTGGATTGAGGTCTGGGCTTTGACTAGGCCATTCCAAGACATTTAAATGTTTCCCCTTAAACCAGTCAAGTGTTGCTTTAGCAGTATGCTTAGGGTCATTGTCCTGCTGGAAGGTGAACCTCCGTCCCAGTCTCAAATCTCTGGAAGACTGAAACAGGTTTGCCTCAAGAATTTCCCTGTATCTAGCGCCATCCATCATTCCTTCAATTCTGACCAGTTTCCCAGTCCCTGCCGATGGGAAAAACATCCCCACAGCATGATGCTGCCACCACCATGCTTCACTGTGGGGATGGTGTTCTCGGGGTGATGAGAGGTGTTGGGTTTGCGCCAGACATAGCGTTTTCCTTGATGGCCAAAAAGCTCAATTTGAGTCTCATCTGACCAGAGTACCTTCTTTCATATGTTTGGGGAGTCTCCCACATGGCTTTTGGCGAACACCAAACGTGTTTGCTTATTTTTTTCTTGCCACTCTTCCATAAAGCCCAGCTCTGTGGAGTGTACGGCTTAAGTGGTCCTATGGACAGATATTCCAATCTCTGCAGCTCCATCAGGGTTATCTTTGGTTTCTTTGTTGCCTCTCTGATTAATGCCCTCCTTGCCTGGTCTGTGAGCTATGGTGGGCGGACCTCTCTTGGCAGGTTTGTTGTGGTGCCATATTCTTTCCGTTTTTAAAATAATGGATTTAATGGTGCTCCGTGGGATGTTCAAACCTTCTGATATTGTTTTATAACCCAACCCTGATCTGTTCTTCTCCACAACTTTGTCCCTGACCTGTTTGGAGAGCTCCTTGGTCTTCAATGTGCCGCTTGCTTGGTGGTGCCCCTTGCTTAGTGGTGTTGCAGACTCTGGGGCCTTTCAGAACAGGTGTGTGTATATATAATGAGATCATGTGACAGATCATATGACACTTAGATTGCACACAGGTGGACTTTATTTAACTAATTATGTGACTTCTGAAGGTAATTGGTTGCACCAGATCTTATTTAGGGGCTTCATAGCAAAGGGGGTGAATACATATTCACGCACCACTTTTCCGTATATATATATATTTTTAATTTTCACTTCACAAATTTGGACTATTTTGTGTATGTCCATTAAATGAAATCTAAATAAAAATCCATTTAAATTACAGGTTGTAATACAACAAAATAGGAAAATGCCAAGGTGGATGAATACTTTTGCAAGGCTCTGTATGCGTTGTTCAGGGATACAGCTAATTCAACCTAGCTTCGTTTTCTGCTGGAAACCTGATGTGGGAACTCCGCTCAGGCTTTTTATTTTACGCCTGCTATGTTAGGTTAGGGAGGTAGTGGTGGTCATAAATTCCACTTTGTTTATGTAATGTTGAATTAATCTTAAATCACACAATGCTGCTATCTCCTCTTTTCAGAGCTGCCTGCCTGCCTGCCTGCATTGTTCTCATCTGAACCCTCATAACATGCATGGCAGATTTACTGGAAAGCTTAAATGTGATTAGATGATGGCATGAAATATCACTTTTCCCCAAGTGTGGTGTGTGTGGTGGTGGTGGAGAGCGGGAGAGACGTCAGTGAGTATCAACTGTAATAAAGACAAAAGCAGCCCAAGGTCATCAAGATCCCAGACTCATCAATTAGATAAAAAACAACATTGGTGCCCCCTGATAAAACGTCAGAGAGAACAATTCCCTGATAAACAGTTCTAGCTGAATGGAATTTGTTTTGAAAATGTCATTTTCTGTTTCTGCATGTAGGCTGTTTCTCTGGTATTTATCAGCACCTAATGAATTCATACATAACTCTGTGTCACGTAGACGTCAGGCTCTCTATCAGTGTTGACTTTGATAGACATTCATCTCACTTTGTTTCTATTGCTCTCATTTCACTGGCGTTGTTGTCTACTGCTCAGGGCTGTGACTGAGTCACTGTGAACAAGGACATCTGTCAGATCCAATGGACAACAGAATCAGCTACCGCAGCAATGTGGGGTTCATAGCTGTTAGAGCTTAGTACTCTGTGACCATATGAAACGCTCGGAGGGCCATCTCTCTCTCCACAATAGTGGGTGTGACTGGGCTGTGTGGTGTGATCCCAGTCTGTTATGCCCCAGAGGGAGGTGAGGCGACGGGGTTGGAGACAGATGATGAGGGTCTTGAGAGCAGTGAGGGCAGTGCACCTGTATCACTAACTAGGCCTAACCTCCAGGACCGGACAAACAGGCTCCAGGAGGTCGGAAGCAGCATTGTGCTGACAACACACTCACTTAAAACTGAGTCACCACAAACACAATGTGCCTTCAGTTCAAAGAATGACACAAGGGAATTCCACTCCTATTTGCATTGTGCTTTTCATTCTTGTTCAACCTCTGATTGTGAACCATTATGTAATGGGGACTATACAGTATTTATGAGTGAATATATGAGTGTTTTCTCATCATCATGGAAATTATAATTGTTGCGCTTGTGTATGTAATATGATATCCCTTGGCTGTCTAGGTTGGAGAAACAACTGCAACACATTAGACTCAGCAGACAAATGAGGGGAAAACAGACTTTCAGCATATAGAAAATTCGGTCCCGGTTTATTTGAAGTGCATCTTATGAAGGCTTCATAAAGCATTCATATAGTCTTCATAAGCACTGCATAAATGTGTCACAAATCATCTATAACTGTATTTCATGCTCTATAAAAGATTAATAAATGTGAAAAAATAGATTGATTGTTGTCACATAGTTATGCCACATTCATCTTTATAGAGCATGATATGGTTATAGATTATTTGTGAAGCATCTATTTAGTGCTTATGAAGGCTTTATGAAGATACACTTCAAATAAAGCAGGACCGAAAATTCTGTATGTTCTGACTTCTGTAGGGGTTCTTGGATGCTGCATGCCCCCCAGCACGAATGGGTCCTACCACCAAATGACACACGGGGGGGTGGATTACTTTAAAACATTGGGCTGGCAGAACATGCAGCAGATGGGTGCGATTGATGTAGCTCTGGGTCTGAATTGGCCATGGCCCGCGTCCAAAACCTGCTCCAGGTCCCTGCTTACTTTTAGATTACAGAATGCAGTTTCAACCCAGGCTCTGGTCTCTCGCCTGTGTGTGTGTGTGTGTGCTAATTCAGATTGTTTCATCGTTTCACCAGGTTGTAGTAAAAATGTAGTTTCTGTACACAGTATCATTTCAGTGGTATTGCATTATACACAACTAGTAATCTGTGAGCTACATCGAGGGGATATAGACTGACTGTCAAAATGATTTTTCTATGTGGTGGCAGCATGTGACAACTCCATTCTCTATGGACTGTGGTTCCATGCTGAAGGCTTAAAGCTCTTATTGAATTTAATGGAGAAAATATTTAGCTCCGTTGATGTCACCAGGAAAATAAGTTTATTCATTCTAAGAATAACTCCTTGAGAAATATGATGCTCCATTTGGATGATGAGCAGAGCTACAGTGTTTTTTTTTTTAATGTATTTTTTTTTTTTTTACACATCAACCTATTTTTTCAACCTGCTTTATTATAAGCCTGTTCTTCCCTGTGTGGTTCACATTTTACAAAGATGTGTTTTGCCTTTATTGAAGTAGCACTTGACATCCTAATAATATGTAATTTTATGAAGGCTCTATTTCGAAAATATGAAATACTCCAGTTAACCAAAACACTGATTTAAACCTTAAAGTAACGGTCCAGTGAAGATCTGGACAGTTTAAAAGTTAATATTCTGTTAACTCATACTCAAATAATGTTGTTGACTCTTCCTATACTCATATTTATGGCCAAAGCATAAATTGGAGAAGAAACACCTCAAAGTAGGGCTGGGTGATATGGCCTAAAACTCATAACGAAAATTTTTTCAAACTTATGTGTGATTCATGATATCTTTTTATTTTTTATTTTTATGTTTTCTCAAAATAAGCTTTGTTGTACAATTTAAAGGTCAAATACACTACATTTCAAACAGTCAGCAAAAATCTAATGAATTCAGGGCTTGTGAAATTACACCTTGCCTGAATACAGTGCCTTGCAAAAGTTTTCATCCCCCTTGCCGTTTTTCCTATTTTGTTGCATTACAACCTGTAATTTAAATGGATTTTTATTTGGATTTCATGGAATGGACATACACAAAATATTCCAAATTGGTGAAATGAAATGAAAAAAATAACTTGTTTCAAAGAATTCTTTAAAATAAATAACGGAAAAGTGGTGCGTGCATATGTATTCACCCCCTTTGCTATGAAGCCCCTAAATAAGATCTGGTGCAACCAATTACCTTCAGAAGTCACAATTAGTTAGATTGCACACAGGTGGACTTTATTTAAGTGTCACATGATCTGTCGTATACATCTGTTCTGAAAGGCCCCAGAGTCTGCAACACCACAAAGCAAGGGGCACCACCAAGCAAGTGGCACCATGAAGACCAAGGAGGTGTCCAAACAGGTCAGGTCAGGGACTAAGTTGTGGAGAAGTACAGATCAGGTTTGGGTTATAAAAAAATATCAAACTTTGAACATCCCACTGAGCACCATTTTAAATCCATTATTAAAAAATTTAAAGAATATGGCACCACAACAAACCTGCCAAGAGAGGGCCGCCCACCAAAACTCATGGACCAGGCAAGGAGGGCATTAATCAGAGAGGCAACAAAGAGACCAAAGATAACCCTGAAGGAGCTGCAAAGCTCCACAGTGTAGATTGGAGTATCTGTCCATAGGACCACTTTAAACCGTACAAAGCTGGGCTTTACGGATGAGTGGCCAGGAAAAAGCCATTGCTTAAAGAAAAAACATAATGTCTGGCGCAAACCCAACACCACTCATCACCCCGAGAACACCATCCCCACAGTGAAGCGTGGTGGCAGCATCATGCTGTGGGGATGTTTTTCATCGGCAGGAACTGGGAAACTGGTCAGAATTGAAGGAATGATGGATGGCGCTAGATACAGGGAAATTCTTGAGATTTGAGACTGGGACGGAAGTTCACCTTCCAGCAGGACATTGACCCTAAGCATACTGCTAAAGCAACACTCAAGTGGTTTAAGGGGAAACATTTGAATGTCTTGGAGTGGCCTAGTCAAAGCCCAGACCTCAATCTAATTGAGAATCTGTGGTATGACTTAAAGATTGCTGTACACCAGCGGAACCCATCCAACTTGAAGGAGCTGGAGCAGTTTTGCCTTGAAGAATGGGCAAAAATCCCAGTGGCTAGATGTGTCAAGCTTATGGCTCTACAAAGTATTGACTTTGGGGGGGTGAATAGTTATGCACGCTCAAGTGTTCTGTTTTTTTGTCTTATTTCTTGTTTGTTTCACAAAAAAAATTATTTTGCATCTTCAAAGTGGTAGGCATGTTGTGTAAATCAAATTATACAAACCCCCCCAAAATCAATTTTAATTCCAGGTTGTAAGGCAACAAAATAGGAAAAATGCCAAGGGAAGTGAATACTTTCGCAAGCCATTGCATATGCCTTCCATAACCATAAGAAATGTACATTTTAGTAATTTAGCAGACACTCTTATCCAGAGAGACTTATAGAAGTAATTAGGGTTAAGTGCCTCGTTCATAGGCACATCATCATATAATTTTTAACCTAGTCTGCTCTGGGATTCGAAGCAGCGACCTTTCGGTTACTGGCCCAAAGCTCTTAACCACTAGGTTCAATCGTTTTACCTGCTTTTTTTTGGGGGGGGGGGGGGGGGAATAATCACTGATCTGGCTTTCGGGTCTGTCTATATAAATGCCCTTTTTGTTACAGATTTAACCAGAACAATGCATAATGCACATTCATTAATAATGTAGCAGGCATTATAGAAAATTAACACAGGTCTCATAAACAATCTCTCAAGCACAAGCCCACGTGCTAGTGAGTAGCCAGCTAATACTTACATTTCAAGTTTAGCCAACTTGGATCTATTTGCTAGATAACAGGGCAAAACAGTTGAATTGTTATGAAACACCCTTCTGTCAGTCTCCAAATGTTTGAACAGCATACTAGCTTGTCGACTTTGTTCAGATGTTGAAATCAAGTGGCCTACCTTATTTATCAGAATGAGAACGAGATGGAAATTCGTTATACAATAGTTTTATGCTTATTGCACGTTTATAAAACACAGACTAACAGATACTATAACTATCTTTATTTGACTAAAATGCTGCTAGCAATACGTGGTACCGTAAGGCGCACGCGACAAACTGGGCATGCATTTTCCAGAATGAATGTTTATTGATACATCCGCTTTAGTAGAGTCTACTCTGCTTGAAATTTGAGGAGTTGAAACATAAACAGGGTATGGTTAGAAAGATTAACTTCTCTGTTACAGTAAAATAATGTCTTAATGTGTTTTGGTGTTCATATGACCGATTCTGTTGGACCAAACCTCAAATGCAAATAGCGAGTTGAAACCGCTTGTCAGAGACCAAAAAGACAACATGAGAACAAACGGACATAAACGCTCATAAAAACGAAAAATACAAAAAACCTTGATTCTGCGAAACAGGCATTTGGAATATCGCAAGAAAACATACATTTGAATGAATCGAATTAATTTGATATATCGCCCAGCCGTACCTCAAAGTTGCATCTACATTTTAGTAATTTAGTAGACACTCTTATCCAGAGTGACTTACAATTAGTGCATTCATTTTAAGATGGCTGGGTGAGACAAACATATCACAGTCGTAGCAAGTACATTTTCCCTCAATAAAGTAGTTAACAGCAAAGTCAGTTCTCTTTTTGTTTCTCTTTCTTTGTGGGGGTGCCGTGGGATTCATTTAAGCTACTCTTTAAAGAGGTATGGTTTCAGATGTTTTTCGAAAGATGGACAGGGACTCTGCTGTCCTAGCTTCAGGGGAAAACTGGTTCCACCATTGGGGTGCCAGGACAGAGAGGAGCTTTGACTGGGCTGAGCGGGAGTTGACCCCCATAGAGGTGGGATGGCCAAGAGACCAGAGGTGGCAGAACGGAGTGCTGTGGTTGGGGTGTAGGGTTTGAGCACACACAAAAAAATGAGAAAAAACTGACCGTTTCAAAAAGGCTTGCCATTTCATCATAAATTATGATGCCATCCTCGTGAGCAGGATGAGCTGGCCAATCGTCGGTCTACTCGCATTAATATTTTTTATGACTGGTATAATATGACCAGACCATTCTGTTGTTGGGGTACGCCCACACCATTCCAACACAGAAAAGCAGCTTTTTAAGATACTTAATTGCAATTTTTTTGGAAGGAAAACTATTTCACTCATAATTAATTATCATATTTCATAGAAATCTGGTAACACTGGACAGTTACCTTTAACTGAAACATAAGTGTGAACACCGAGGCACTCAGATGAAATCCTGATTTTGTTTTAGAAGTAACATCATAGATTTAGTCATTCTAATTATATCTGTAGCCCCTAGGTGCTCATGAAGGGAATGCCATGAAATCAGTGTGTGTGCTATTAGGCTAATGGACTTCCTCTCCCTCCCTCTCTGTGTGTCCAGGTGTAGGCCATGGCCTGGAGATCACGTCCCAGGGGCTCACGAACATAGAGAAGGCCAGCGGTGAGAGTGTCAAGCTGGATTGCCAGTTTTCTCTGGCCCCCGAGGACTCTGGACCCCTGGACATCGAATGGAGCCTGCTGGCCTCAGACAACCAGAAAGAGGACAAAGTGGTGTGTGTGTGTGTTTGTTTGTTTAATGGGGTCCCTCCAAGTGGTTTGTGTTCTTTCATCCATGAAAAGGGTTTTTGGGGTTATTCCTGCTTTTGGTATGTCAGAATTCATCATATTATGTCGGAACTATCCAATGTTAAAACAGAAGTGTTATGTTAGAGATGGGAAGATAAACCGAAAACTACTGACACCGACATTGCCTTCTTTTTACAGAAGCATTTTGCTTAAGTCAGTAATTTTAGGTGATTTTGCTTCACAACGTCCCTGTAGATTGTTCTAAAACCATTATTTGGTCAACAGTAATAGTCAATGCGTTGTTGATTTCTGCTATGAATGTATCTGCCTGTCCATCTTTCGCTGTCGGCTGCTGACTCTCACTCCCTCTCCCAACTTTGCGCACGGAGGAGGAGGGCGAGATGCATTCTGAGAAGCACAAAATGCTATTGCTGGAAAAAATACTACTGTTCTTGTTACAGAGAGGAGAGTCGCAGCTTTCTGTGAATGTACAGTACCAGTCCAAAGTTTGGACACCTACTCATTCCAGGGTTTTTCTTTATTTTCACTATTTTCTACATTGTAGAATAATAGTGAAGACATCAAAACTATAAAATAACACATATGGTATCATGTAGTAACCAAAAAAGTGTTAATCAAATCTAAATATATTTTATATTTGAGATTCTTCAAAGTAGCCACCCTTTGCCTTGATGACAGCTTTGCACACTCTTGGCGTTCTCTCAACCAGCTTCATGAGGTAGTCACCTGGAATGCAATTCAATTAACAGGTGTGCCTTGATAAAGGTTCATTTGTGGAATTAATGTGTTTGAGCCAGTCAGTTGTGTTGTGACAAGGTAGGGGTGGTATACAGAAGATAGCCCTATTTGGTAAAAGACCAAGTCCATATTATGGCATGAACAGCTCAAATAAGCAAAGGGAAATGACAGTCCATCATTACTTTAAGACATGAAGGTCAGTCAATACAGAACATTTCAAAAACGTTGAACGTTTCTTCAAGTGCAGTCGCAAAAACCATCAAGCGCTATGATGAAACTGGCTCTCATGAGGACCGCCACAGGAATGGAAGATCCAGAGTTACCTCTGCTGCAGAGGATAAGTTCATTAGAGTTACCAGCCTCAGAAATTGCAGGCCAAATAAATGCTTCACAGAGTTCAAGTAACAGACACATCTCAACATCAACTGTTCAGAGGAGACTGTGAATCAGGCCTTCATGGTCGAATTGCTGCAAAGAAACCACTACTAAAGGACACCAATAAGAAGAAGATACATGCTTGGGCCAAAAAACACGACCAATTGACATATAGTCCAAATGTGAGATTTTTGGTTCCAACCGCTGTGTCTTTGTGAGACGCGGTGTGGGTGAACGGATGATCTCCGCATGTGTATTTCCCACAGTAAAACATGGAGGAGGAGGTTTTATGGTGTGGGGGTGCTTTGCTGGTGACACTGTCTGTGATTTATTTAGAATTCAAGGCACACTTAACCAGCATGGCTACCACAGCATTCTGCAGCGATACACCACTACTAAAGGACACCAATAATAAGAAGAGACTTGCTTGGGACAAGAAACACAAGCAATGGACGTAAGACCGGTGGAAATCTGTCCTTTGGTCTGATGAGTCCAAATTTTTAGATTTACAGTTGGCACTACGCATTTGAGCAGGTAGCGTTCTCCTGGCATCCGCCAAACCCTGATTCGTCCGTCGGACTGCCAGATGGTGAAGCGTGATTAATCACTTCAGAGAACGCGTTTCCACTGCTCCAGAGTTCAATGGCGGTGAGCTTTACACCACTCCAGCCGACGCTTGGCATTGCGCATGGTGATCTTAGGCTTGTGTGCGGCTGCTCGGCCATGAATCTCCCAACCAACAGGTTTTGTGCTGACGTTGCTTCCAGACGCAGTTTGGAACTCGGTAGTGAGTGTTGCAACCGAGGACAGACTATTTACGCGCTTCAGCACTCGGCGGTCCCGTTCTGTGAGCTTGTGTGGCCTACCACTTCGCGGCTGAGCTGTTGTTGCTCCTAGACGTTTCCACTTCACAATAACAGCACTTACAGTTGACCGGGGCAGCTCTAGCAGGGCAGAAATTTGACAAACTGACTTGTTGGAAAGGTGTCATCCTGTGACGGTGCCACGTTGAAAGCCGCTGAGCTCTTCAGTAAGGCCATTCTACTGCCAATGTTTGTCTATGGAGATTGCATGGCTGTGCGCTCGATTTTATACAGTTGTCGAAACGGTTGTGGCTGAAATCGTCGAATCCACAAATTTCATGGGGTGTCCACATAATTTTGTCTGTGTGTGTGTGTGTGTGTGTGTGTGTGTGTGTGTGTGTGTGTGTGTGTGTGTGTGTGTATGTATGTGTATATATATATACACAGTGGGGAGAACAAGTATTTGATACACTGCCGTTTTTGCAGGTTTTCCTACTTACAAAGCATGTAGAGGTCTGTAATATTTATCGTAGGTACACTTCAACTGTGAGAGACGGAATCTAAAACAAAAATCCAGAACATCACATTGTATGATTTTTAAGTAATTAATTTGCATTTTATTGCATGACATAAGTATTTGATCACCTACCAACCAGTAAGAATTCCGGCTCTCACAGACCTGTTAGTTTTTCTTTAAGAAGCCCTCCTGTTCTCCACTCATTACCTGTATTAACTGCACCTGTTTGAACTCGTTACCTGTATAAAAGACACCTGTCCACACACTCAATCAAACAGACTCCAACCTCTCCACAATGGCCAAGACCAGAGAGCTGTGTAAGGACATCAGGGATACAATTGTAGACCTGCACAAGGCTGGGATGGGCTACAGGACAATAGGCAAGCAGTTTGGTGAGAAGGCAACAACTCTTGGTGCAATTATTAGAAAATGGAAGTAGTTCAAGATGATGGTCAATCACCCTCGGTCTGGGGCTCCATGCAAGATCTCACCTCGTGGGGCATCAATGATCATGAGGAAGGTGAGGGATCAGCCCAGAACTACACGGCAGGACCTGGTCAATGACCTGAAGAGAGCTGGGACCACAGTCTCAAAGAAAACCATTAGTAACACACTACGCCGTCATGGATTAAAATCCTGCAGCGCACGCAAGGTCCCCCTGCTCAAGCCAGCGCATGTCCAGGCCCGTCTGAAGTTTGCCAATGACCATCTGGATGATCCAGAGGAGGAATGGGAGAAGGTCATGTGGTCTGATGAGACAAAAATAGAGCTTTTTGGTCTAAACTCCACTCGCCGTGTTTGGAGGAAGAAGAAGGATGAGTACAACCCCAAGAACACCATCCCAACTGTGAAGCATGGAGGTGGAAACATCATTCTTTGGTGATGCTTTTCTGCAAAGGGGACAGGACGACTGCACCGTATTGAGGGGAGGATGGATGGGGCCATGTATTGCAAGATCTTGGCCAACAACCTCCTTCCCTCAGTAAGAGCGTTGAAGATGGGTCGTGGCTGGGTCTTCCAGCATGACAACGACCCTACACACAGCCAGGGCAACTAAGGAGAGGCTCCGTTAGAAGCATCTCAAGGTCCTGGAGTGGCCTAGCCAGTCTCTTGACCTGAACCCAATAGAAAATCTTTTGAGGGAGCTGAATGTCCGTATTCCCCAGCAACAGCCCCGAAACCTGAAGGATCTGGAGAAGGATCTGGAGAAGGTCTGTATGGAGGAGTGGGCCAAAATCCCTGCTGCAGTGTGTGCAAACCTGGTCAAGACCTACAGGAAACGTATGATCTCTGAAATTGCAAACAAAGGTTTCTGTACCAAATATTAAGTTCTGCTTTTCTGATGTATCAAATACTTATGTCATGCAATAAAATGCAAATTATTTACTTAAAAATCATACAATGTGATTTTCTGGATTTTTGTTTTAGATTCCGTCTCTCACAGTTGAAGTGTACCTATGATAAAAATTACAGACCTCTACATGCTTTGTAAGTAGGAAAACCTGCAAAATCGGCAGTGTATCAAATACTTGTTCTCCCCACTGTGTGTGTATATATATATATATTAGTGTAGCATTTAATCATAGGCTAAGGCTGCCATCTCGGTTGTCTTCCTTGGCACTGGAAAAAAATGGTCACCGGCCGCCAGTTGGGGAACCCTGGTCTAGAGTCCTGCCGTTAATGTAAAGTAACTGTCCATTCAAACATTTTCTTTATTGTTGTATTTGTTGTTATCGAGCAAAATTGTTACATTTTATACTGATTACTTTTTGTCCATATCGGCCAGCTCTAGCACCTCCCCAAAAAAATTGTATATGGTTAACAAGAGCCATAAACTGTATGTGTTGCTCTATGGCGCTGTGGTTAACTATCTATTTTTTTTATGACACACCATCATGTCAAACTTTGATACAGTGCCTGTCAGTTGAGAAGTAAAAGGAGATGTCAGGTTTTGTTCCTTTTTGTTAACCAGTCGATGGAACCCTCGAGTTCTGTCTTCTATGTGTGGTAAGGGAAAACTCCCACACAACCCCTGAACATGACTATAAAAACAGCAGTTAATGTTTTACTTGGTGCATGTTTTTAAAGCTCTATAAAATATCCCACATGGGTTTGAGTGTGTGGCATCACTCTTTCAGTTGCTCTTTCAGTGTGCGCGTGTGTGCAAGCGTGCACTGTGCATGCTCGTTAGTGCGTGAGAATGGGGGTGTGTTAGTTGGCTCTCGTGACCTCACCCACCTGCGCTCTGCATGGTACCTCTATTGAGTGGAATGCCACCTCCCAGCCATGCTGTGGGAACCAAGCAGCTCTGTGTACATGCCGTGTCATCCCTCTATAGCCTGGAGGTATGGGGTGCACAGGGCTGCTGAGAGGATAGATAGATCCACATAGCCCATGCAGTGCCTGAGGGCATGTAGCTAGAAGCTTATAGAGGGATAGATGGCCTCACTCCAGGCCTCTGAATGGTGGGGGAGTCTCTCCTGTGTATCTCCGTTCCACGCCTCCGCTAGCGAGGCTTCTGCATCTCTCTCTCTCTCGTTTTTTTTCCAGGGGTAGATGAAGCTCAGTATAGGAGCCCTTCGTTAGCTGTCCCTCTCACCATTGCTCCCTGGCTCAAATTCATTCCAGCCCTGCTCTTTCCTCTCCTTCCATTGTCTCTGCTAAATTCAGTTATTTTTTTATTGGGGAGCATTGCCTCAGGAGAGCCCCATTTGTTTTTGACCTACTTCATTTTATTTACAGTGGGAACCACTGATGATTAATTGGGAGGGGTGGGGGTGGAAGAAGTGGCGTATTTCCAAAAAAACAACATTATTATTATTATAGAGCCGTTATTGTGCTCCCAAGGTTTGGCGTTTCTGTGTAAAGACAACGATGCTCATGTGGATATAACTGTAGGAGCCAGTTGTGGATGGTTTTCCGTTTGTGGTCTACCTCCTCCTCTGTAGTTGATTCATCTGTAGACATCATGTTTTCAATGTTCCAGACTCAGAGTTTATCTTCACGGCTCATTATTTTTTAAAAATCTTTATTTGCCACTCAAACCGTCGCCGATCGTTTACAAGGGCCACAATCTCACCAGACCATTTTTTCCATTCACAACGGCCAAGTTTCTATCTTCGTCTGAGTGGGTAGATATTAATTGACCAATCAGAGGGGCACTCAGTGCATAGACACACACACACACACACAGCCTACTTGCGCCCTGGTGGGGTGATGTCATGTGTATTATCAGTAATTAGTGGCCTGTTAAGTCCAGTGGCTGCAGGGCTGACTTAGTGTATGTGACAGTGCCCAGTAGGATTAGTGCTGGCAAACCAGAGCTGGGGCTACACTGTACTGGCAGGCTGGACTACTGGATGTCCAGAGCGCAAGAAGGGGAGGGGAGATGCTGGGGCCATGCTGTACTACTGGATGTCCAGAGAGAGAAGGGGAGGGGAGATGATGGGGCTGGGGCTATGCTGTACTACTGGATGTCCAGAGGAGAGAGAGGTGAAGGGAGGGAGGGAGATGCTGGGGCTATGCTGTACTACTGGATGTCCAGAGAGAAAGATAGAGAAGGAGGGGAGATGCTGGGGCTATGCTTACTACTGGATGCCAGAGAGAGAAAGATAAGAGAGAAGGGGAGGGGAGATGCTGGGGCTATGCTGTACTACTGGATGTCCAGAGAGAGAAAGATAGAGAGAAGGGGAGGGGAGATGCTGGGGCTATGCTGTACTACTGGATGTCCAGAGAGAGAAAGATAGAGAGAAGGGGAGGGGAGATGCTGGGGCTATTATGGAGTGGCAGGCTGGACTACTGGACGTGTAGTACTGCTCTACTCTGCTGGAAGGGGGGAGGAGATGGAGGGGGGAAGGAGAGTAGAGGATGGGGAAATATGACAAAAGGAGAGAAGGGGAAGTAGCAGAGGAGAGGGAGTGGAGGGATTCGAGAGGTTCAGAACTGAAAAGGGCTTAGGTTGACCAGGAGCAGGACGAGCTGACCATCTGAGACCCTTTACATGCCACTCCCTATGACAGACTACTATGAGTTTGCACAGTCAAACTGGCATTTTTTGTATTCATAAAGTAGGGAAACAACAATGCACTGCTTACATCAGATATTCAATTTAGAGATTTGGGAGTTGTGGTCTGTTTATTTGGCATAGCCCTACATATCTGGCTTCAGGGAGTCAGTAAAGCATAGCTAATGCACCTCTCTTTGTTGGCCTGAAATGAGGAGATGCCATGCCTACAGTAAGAGCTAATTAGCATTTAGCACTCATCACAGGGTACATTACAGATGTGGGTGCGCCCTGGGTATTGTATTCTCAACTACGATAATGGTTACTACAGTCATGATAACAATACATGAATGATAGTTGCCTATAGTGCTGTACTCAAGGGTAGCTGGGAGAATGGAACGGTAGCTAGCTGCTTCAAATTCCTGGTGGAAAGCACTAGAGCTTTGTTTACTGAAGAAAATCTGACATGGAAGTGTAGTGGTTCAGGTTAAACCTTGAGAATCAATTTGGAGCCAAGGTACATTTCTGAAACTGACTATAGGGGCATGGCCGATTCAGGAGAAAAGCCTGACTTTACCAAAGACGCAACAACACTGTCGCCAGAGTCTGGGACAGACCGGGACAATGAGTGTAGTGTACACAGGTGATGCCACTCCCTGTTTTGCCTCTCAAATTAGCCCCTCCCTCTCCGTGCAGGGGAGTCACATGACGATGACCTCATCTTTAAATGGTCCCATGTAAATAACCTAACCTTTGTCTCACTCCTGCTGCTGCTACAGCTGCTGCCAGTATAATAGAGGTTGTTTCCCTTCTGCACTTTTTACTATTATCTTTGTTAGTTCATTACTATTTAAGGTGACTTTAAATGTCCACACAGGTGCCACCCTAACTAATACAATGTACTATTATAATTATGATAGAGGTCCCTTAGTGCAATATTTGTCCACAGAGACTTTCATTCTGACTTCACCAGCTGGATACTGTAGTACTGGTCTACCTATTCTGAATCAGAACTCAGGAATGAACGTGTCCTTGTTTTCAACTCCGCTTGTCTGGTTCTCTTCTCACTAACGTCTGCCCTTTGATTTCAAGTACGTAGGCCCTCTTGGAGTTTTTATAGGATTTGTTTTATTGAGCCCCATTCTTACATGTGGTATGTACAAGATTGTAGTCTGTGTGTGAGTGAGTGCTTGTTGCCTGTCTTTACCCCAGTGCCTCAGGTAATTTAATTTCCTCTCCTCCACCTTCTCTCATCGCGTTGTTATTACTGCCGATGTTCTCATCCCAGTGAAGTTAGTTTGAAAGCTCCGTGTCTCTCCTGGGATCCAGGTGGAATGCATTACAGTTTACGTGGCTAATAGGTACAAGATGTAGCTTAGCCTACACAGCCTTGGCAGCCCTGCCGTGGGGTCAACAACAAGGCTCCCCAGCTGAGCTGCTCGACAACTCACAGCCTACCATCCCTCCGGTTCTTTGTTTTCTTTTCTCTCGCTCCCTCACAGCCCACCATCCTTCCGTTCTGTTCGTCTCTCTTTGTTTTCTTTTCCCTCGCTCTCCCTTGGAGCTTGCTGCTACCTCTGTGTTCATTAGGATGCCTACTCAGTTTTTCCTTTACTCTCTCCAGTGTGTGTGTATGATGGTGATCACTGCACACACCACAAGCCCCTGTCTCTGACAAGCTCCATGGAAAATTGAGAATAATATGCCTACCTACGTGCGTGTTGTCTGCCTGCGATGTGAGAGAATTGTTTGTCCCTCCCTCCTCCTTTCCCTCCTTTGTGCTGTGGTTGTGGTGTTTTGTGCTGCTCCTGTTCGGCTCGTTGTCCGTTGGCTCCACCTTGACTCCATCTTCTGGCTTCTCCTCTGAGCACTGTGTCGGAGGGGAGGGGGAGAGACAGGCGGTGGGTAGGGGAGGTGGAGGAAGTTAGGGCTGGGGGCTGCTGCTGAGCCCAGGGCATAGCTCTCTCTCGCTCTCGCTCTCGCTCTCTCTCTCTCTCTCTCGCTCTCGCTCTCTCGCTCGCTCTCTCTCGCTCTAGCTCGCTCTCTCTCGCTCTCGCTCTCTCTCTGTGTGTGTGTTGACACAGCAGGTGTTGATTTGACTCCACAGTAGGGCTTTGTTTGTTCCTTGCCATACCTCAGCTCAGCAGTAGCACGGAAAGGAAAGGGCAAAAACAAGCTAGAGCCAGGCGTAGAAGGACATTAGGGAGATAACAATACACTGACTCTCCATTTCAGTGTCTTTTGTTTTATTTAACAGAGACGGGGGGCCTTGCACTCACTCTTAAAATCCAGCTACAGCTTGGATTATTTCTCCAGGCTTGTTTAAAAAAAAAAAAGTTGTAACACTTTTACACGCAGCTATCTCCCTCTAATTCTCGGTCTATTCCCTCCCTTATTTTTTCTTCCTCCCTCCCGCTCTCCTTCCCCTCCCTCCACCCCCAGGTGATCCTGTACTCTGGGGACAGGGCCTATGAGGACTACCCTGCGGTGAAGGGGCGGGCCCACTTCAACTCACCCGACCCTAAGAATGGCGACGCCTCCATCAACCTGACTGGTCTGAAGTCCTCAGACACGGGGACCTACCAGTGCAAGGTGAAGAAGGCCCCAGGCATCCGCAGCAGGAAGATGATACTGACCGTCATGGGTGAGTGGGGTGCCATGGGTGACATTTTTACATGTTAAACAGCCTCTACTCTGCTATCTATCTGTTCAGTAAAAACTCCAAGCATAATGCTTTTTAAAGGGTACATGTGGCTGACTAGATACGTGTTTATGTAATGCCCTCTAGAATGGCGTGATGGTATGTTTAATATTCCTAGTGGGGTGTATAGAGCTAGAATTTCCCTTGATATTGCAATTCCATTCAATCCATATACTGTAGGGAAACGGCTATGTCACTATCAGATAAAATCAAAATAGCCTACTAATTGCAAATTTAATAAAGTATTGTAAAATGTATATTAATGCAGCCTTGTTCTGAAATTATGTACTGTTGTGGACAAGTATTGGTCTTCACAAAGTTCGCTGCTTCAGTGTTATGAGATATTTTTGTCAGATGTTACTATGGTATACTGAAGTATAATTACAAGCATTCCATAAGTGTCAAAGGCTTTTATTGACAATTATATTAAGTTTATGCAAAGAGTCAATATTTGCAGTGTTGACCCTTCTTTTTCAAGACCTCTGCAATCCGCCCTGGCATGCTGTCAATTAACTTCTGGGCCACATCCTGACTGATGGCAGCCCATTCTTGCGTAATCAATGCTTGGAGTTTGTCAGAATTTGTGGATTTTTGTTTGTCCACCCGCCTCTTGAGGATCGACCACAAGTTCTCAATGGGATTAAGGTCTGGGGAGTTTCCTGGCCATGGACCCAACATTTTGATGTTTTGTTCCCCCGAGCCACTTAGTTATCACTTTTGCCTTATGGCAAGGTGCTCCATCATGCTGGAAAAGGCATTGGTCGTCACCAAACTGTTCTTGGATGGTTGGGAGTAGTTGCTCTCGGAGGATGTGTTGGTACCATTCTTTATTCATGGCTGTGTTCTTAGGCAAAATTGTGAGTGAGCCCACTCCCTTGGCTGAGAAGCAACCCCACACATGAATGGCCTCAGGATGCTTTAATGTTGGCATGACACAGGACTGATGGTAGCGCTCACCTTGACTTCTCCGGACAAGGTGTTTTCCGGATGCCCCAAGCAATCGGAAAGGGGATTCATCAGAGAAAATGACTTTACCCCAGTCCTCAGCAGTCCAATCCCTGTACCTTTTGCAGAATATCAGTCTGTCCCTGATGTTTTTCCTGGAGAGAAGTGGCTTCTTCGCTGCCCATCCTGACACAAGGCCATCCTCCAAAAGTCTTCGCCTCACTGTGCATGCAGATGCACTCACACCTGCCTGCTGCCATTCCTGAGCAAGCTCTGCACTGGTGGTGCCCCGATCCCACAGCTGAATCAACTTTAGGAGACGGTCCTGGCGCTTGCTGGACTTTCTTGGGCGCCCTGACACCTTCTTCACAACAATTGAACCTCTCTCCTTGAAGTTCTTGATGATCCGATAAATGGTTGATTTAGGTGCAATCTTACTAGCGGCAATATCCTTGCCTGTGAAGCCCTTTTTGTGCAAAGCAATGATGACTGCACGTGTTTCCTTGCAGGTAACCATGGTTAACAGAGAAAGAACAATGATTTCAAGCACCACCCTCCTTTTAAAGCTTCCAGTCTGTTATTCTAACTCAATCAGCATGACAGTGTGATCTCCAGCCTTGTCCTCGTCAACACTCTCACCGGTCTTAACGAGAGAATCACTGACATGATGGCAGCTGGTCCTTTTGTGGCAGGGCTGAAATGCAGTGGAAATGTTTTTGGGGGATTAAGTTCATTTTCATGGCAAAGAGGGACTTTGCAATTAATTGCAATTCATCTGATCACTCTTCGTGACATTCTGGAGTATATGCAAATTGCCATCATCAAAACTGAGGCAGCAGACTTTGTGAAAATTAGTATTTGTGTCATTCTCAAAAATTTTGAACACAACTGTATGCTAAGTACTTTGCTTTGCCATTAAGTGATGGTGTGATTGATGAGCACACACACAATGTAATGTCACCTCAGCCAGCTGTTCCATTGTTGTTGTTAAGTGACAGTAAAGTAAAATGAAGTGATACAGGCCTTATGACAGCCACTCAGCTAGCTAAGCATGTATCAAACATGACAGTGGGTGTAGAATAGGCAGAACATTCATAGTGATGTCTGCGCAAACAGACTTGTCGTGTATGGCTGCTCGATGAGTTAACTTCACTCTGAACTTACAGAAACTCACTCAGTCACTCAACCTTTCAGCATATTTACATATGAAAAGCAGTGTGTGGGTTGACGGCTCTGGTCAAACAACATATTAACTATTATTAGAGCCCTGCACTGATGATGGATTTCTCATAAACGCTGTGTGTGCATGGATAAAATGTGATTAGGACAAGGTTGTTTTCCTGGTTAACCACATCTCTCTATTGAGAAACTGGTGTTGTGACATGATCCGTTGATGTTATGTTTAACTTCCTTTACCAGGAACTAGACTAAAACAAACTGCTTTTTAGTCATTCCTTCACTAGTAAGGCTGGCTCGAAGCCTCTCTCTCAGGTCTACAGGAAGGAAGATAGATTTGTTCAGTGTACCTGAGCCAGCCAAGGAAAGATGGGCTTGAGCTGACTAGAGCAAATACCTAAGCAGGCCGATGGCCATTAGGGAGCTGTGCCGAGGCATTTCTTGGCCACAGAGCTGGTGATCTAGTGTCTGTCTTTACTGGTTTAGTGCCGCCGCCAGGTAGTGGCTCTGACAGGCCTAAAGCCATTGACCCCTGGGGCAGAGCTATTCCTATTCTAGAGGAGAGCAGTGTGACAAGGGGACAGGAAGACATCTTGCCTGCGCTGCAGTTTACCTTCAGGTCGATATTGTCACCAGAACATAAATACTCCCGAGCGCATTGGCAGGGATGGACACAGACATGGTCACACACTCTCAGGCACAGACACGCACTCTAAGGCAGTAGGGGCGCGTGCACACACACCGAGGCATCTGTCCTGAGTGCAGGTAACGTTAGGAGCTATGTGTGATGAAGATAGACAGTGAAGGTAACAGGAGGAGAGGGCACACCTGCAGTCAGTACAGCACACCGGACAGGCACGTCAGCAACCCTCGCAACCAATCAGTGTCCGCCGCCACCTCACTACAGCTTTCCGCAGCCAATCACAATTTCTCTCTCCCTGGCCTTAGTCCCAACCAACCAACCAATCACTATCTCTTTACCCATACACCACTACAGTATTTAACCTGCCAATCTCTGAAGTTCCCTGACCTGAGTCCAAACAACCAATCAGCCCTGCCTTGACCTCGCTACAGCCTTCAACAGCCAATCTTTCTGTCTCCCTGGCCTCAGTCCCAACCGATCCCTCATTGTCTTCATAGCCACTCTACTGTGGTCTACCACAATGTATCACTCTCCCTCTATCTATACTGTATCCTATCTGTACCTCAATGTAGTCCAGCACAGCCAATACATCTCCTAATCTTTAGCCCTTCATATTACACCACATCCATATAGTCCACCACAACCAATCACACTTTCTCTCTACAGTACAGTGAGGGGGAAAAAGTATTTGATCCCCTGCTGATTTTGTATGTACGTTTGCCCACTGACAAAGACATGATCAGTCTATAATTTTAATGGTAGGTTTATTTGAACAGTGAGAGACAGAATAACAACAAAAAAATCCAGAAAAACGCATGTCAAAAATGTTATAAATTGATTTGCATTTTAATGAGGGAAATAAGTATTTGACCCCTCTGCAAAACATGACTTAGTACTTGGTGGCAAAACCCTTGTTGGCAATCACAGAGGTCAGACGTTTCTTGTAGTTGGCCATCAGGTTTGCACACATCTCAGGAAGGATTTTGTCCCACTCCTCTTTGCAGATCTTCTCCAAGTCATTAAGGTTTCGAGGCTGACGTTTGGCGCAACTAACCTTCAGCTCCCTCCACAGATTTTCTATGGGATTAAGGTCTGGAGACTGGCTAGGCCACTCCAGGACCTTAATGTGCTTATTCTTGAGCCACTTCTTTGTTGCCTTGGCCGTGTGTTTTGGGTCATTGTCATGCTGGAATACCCATCCACGACCCATTTTCAATGCCCTGGCTGAGGGAAGGAGGTTCTCACCCAAGATTTGACGGTACATGGCCCCGTCCATCGTCCCTCTGATGCGGTGAAGTTGTCCTGTCCCCTTAGCAGAAAAACACCCCCAAAGCATAATGTTTCCACCTCCATGTTTGACGGTGGGGATGGTGTTCTTGGGGTCATAGGCAGCATTCCTCCTCCTCCAAACACGGCGAGTTGAGTTGATGCCAAAGAGCTCCATTTTGGTCTCATCTGACCACAACACTTTTACCCAGTTCTCCTCTGAATCATTCAGATGTTCATTGGCAAACTTCAGACGGGCCTGTATATGTGCTTTCTTGAGCAGGGGGACCTTGCAGACGCTGCAGGATTTCAGTCCTTCAAGGCGTAGTGTGTTACCAATTGTTTTCTTGGTGACTATGGTCCCAGCTGCCTTGAGATCATTGACAAGATCCTCCTGTGTAGTTCTGGGCTGATTCCTCACCTTTCTCATGATCATTGCAACTCCAAGAGGTGAGATCTTGCATGGAGCCCCAGGCCGAGGGAGATTGACAGTTATTTTGTGTTTTCTTCCATTTGCGAATAATCGCACCAACTGTTGTCACCTTCTCACCAAGCTGCTTGGCGATGGTCTTGTAGCCCATTCCAGCCTTGTGTAGGTCTACAATCTTGTCCCTGACATCCTTGGAGAGCTCTTTGGTCTTGGCCATGGTGGAGAGTTTGGAATCTGATTGATTGATTGCTTCTGTGGACAGGTGTCTTTTTATACAGGTAACAAGCTGAGATTAGGATCACTCCCTTTAAGAGTGTGCTCCTAATCTCAGCTCGTTACCTGTATAAAAGACACCTGGGAGCCAGAAATCTTTCTGATTGAGAGGGGGTCAAATACTTACTTCCCTGTAGCTCAGCACATTAAGGTCCTGGAGTGGCCTAGCCAGTCTCCAGACCTTAATCCCATAGAAAATCTGTGGAGGGAGCTGAAGGTTCGAGTTGCCAAATGTCAGCCTCGAAACCTTAATGACTTGGAGAAGATCTGCAAAGAGGAGTGGGACAAAATCCTTCCTGAGATGTGTGCAAACCTGATGGCCAACTACAAGAAACGTCTGACCTCTGTGATTGCCAACAAGGGTTTTGCCACCAAGTACTAAGTCATGTTTTGCAGAGGGGTCAAATACTTATTTCCCTCATTAAAATGCAAATCAATTGATAACATTTTGACATACAGTGGGGGAAAAAAGTATTTAGTCAGCCACCAATTGTGCAAGTTCTCCCACTTAAAAAGATGAGAGAGGCCTGTAATTTTCATCATAGGTACACGTCAACTATGACAGACAAAATGAGAAAAAAAAATCCAGAAAATCACATTGTAGGATTTTTAATGAATTTATTGGCAAATGATGGTGGAAAATAAGTATTTGGTCAATAACAAAAGTTTCTCAATACTTTGTTATATACCCTTTGTTGGCAATGACACAGGTCAAACGTTTTCTGTAAGTCTTCACAAGGTTTTCACACACTGTTGCTTGTATTTTGGCCCATTCCTCCATGCAGATCTCCTCTAGAGCAGTGATGTTTTGGGGCTGTCGCTGGGCAACACAGACTTTCAACTCCCTCCAAAGATTTTCTATGGGGTTGAGATCTGGAGACTGGCTAGGCCACTCCAGGACCTTGAAATGCTTCTTACGAAGCCACTCCTTCGTTGCCCGGGCGGTGTGTTTGGGATCATTGTCATGCTGAAAGACCCAGCTACGTTTCATCTTCAATGCCCTTGCTGATGGAAGGAGGTTTTCACTCAAAATCTCACGATACATGGCCCCATTCATTCTTTCCTTTACACGGATCAGTCATCCTGGTCCCTTTGCAGAAAAACAGCCCAAAAGCATGATGTTTCCACCCCCATGCTTCACAGTAGGTATGGTGTTCTTTGGATGCAACTCAGCATTCTTTGTCCTCCAAACATGACGAGTTGAGTTTTTTACCAAAAAGTTATATTTTGGTTTCATCTGACCATATGACATTCTCCCAATCCTCTTCTGGATCATCCAAATGCACTTCAGACGGGCCTGGACATGTACTGGCTTAAGCAGGGGGACACGTCTCGCACTGCAGGATTTGAGTCCCTGGCGGCGTAGTGTGTTACTGATGGTAGGCTTTGTTACTTTGGTCCCAGCTCTCTGCAGGTCATTCACTAGGTCCCCCCGTGTGGTTCTGGGATTTTTGCTCACCGTTCTTGTGATCATTTTGACCCCACGGGGTGAGATCTTGCGTGGAGCCCCAGATTGAGGGAGATTATCAGTGGTCTTGTATGTCTTCCATTTCCTAATAATTGCTCCCACAGTTGATTTCTTCAAACCAAGCTGCTTACCTATTGCAGATTCAGTCTTCCCAGCCTGGTGCAAGTCTACAATTTTGTTTCTGGTGTCCTTTGACAGCTCTTTGGTCTTGGCCATTGTGGAGTTTGGAGTGTGACTGTTTGAGGTTGTGGACAGGTGTCTTTTATACTGATAACAAGTTCAAACAGGTGCCATTAATACAGGTAACGAGTGGAGGACAGAGGAGCCTCTTAAGAAGAAGTTACGGTCTGTGAGAGCCAAAAATCTTGCTTGTTTTAGGTGACCAAATACTTATTTTCCCCCCATAATTTGCAATAAATTCATTAAAAATCCTACAATGGATTTTCTGGAAAAAAATTCTCAATTTGTCTGTCATAGTTGACGTGTACCATGATGAAAAATTAAAAGGCCCCTCTCATCTTTTTAAATGGGAGAACTTGCACATTGTGGCGACTAAAATCTTTTTTTCCCCCCACTGTATTTTTTTCTGGATTTGTATGTTGTTATTCTGTCTCTCACTGTTCAAAAAACCTACCATTAAATTATAGACTGATCATGTCTTTGTCAGTGGGCAAACGTACAAAATCAGCAGGGGGTCAAATACTTTTTCCCTCACTGTATCTCAAAGACCTCCTTTTTTTCTTTACTCGTTTTTTAAATTTCCCCCGGAACCAGTCATTTTTGCACTTCTTTTATTTTTATTTCATTTCGGCCAGCCCTCCCCCTAGCCAGTCTCCAGACCTTAATCCCATAGAAAATCTGTGGAGGGAGCTGAAGGTTCGAGTTGCCAAATGTCAGCCTCGAAACCTTAATGACTTGGAGAAGATCTGCAAAGAGGAGTGGGACAAAATCCTTCCTGAGATGTGTGCAAACCTGGTGGCCAACTACAAGAAACGTCTGACCTCTGTGATTGCCAACAAGGGTTTTGCCAACAAATAAATCCAGAAAAATGCATGTCAAAAATGTTATAAATTGATTTGCATTTTATAATAATAATATGCCATTTAGCAGACGCTTTTTATCCAAAGCGACTTACAGTCATGCGTGCCTACATTTTCTGTGTATGGGTGGTCCCAGGGATCGAACCCACTACCTTGGCATTACAAGCGCCATGCTCTACCAGCTGAGCTACAGGGAAGTAAGTATTTGACCCCCTCTCAATCAGAAAGATTTCTGGCTCCCAGGTGTCTTTTATACAGGTAACGAGCTGAGATTAGGAGCACACTCTTAAAGGGAGTGATCCTAATCTCAGCTTGTTACCTGTATAAAAAGACACCTGTCCACAGAAGCAATCAATCAATCAGATTCCAAACTCTCCACCATGGCCAAGACCAAAGAGCTCTCCAAGGATGTCAGGGACAAGATTGTAGACCTACACAAGGCTGGAATGGGCTTCAAGACCATCGCCAAGCAGCTTGGTGAGAAGGTGACAAGTTGGTGCGATTATTCGCAAATGGAAGAAACACAAAAGAACTGTCAATCTGCCTCGGCCTGGGGCTCCATGCAAGATCTCACCTTGTGGAGTTGCAATGATCATGAGAATGTGTGCAAACCTGGTGGCCAACTACAAGAAACGTCTGACCTCTGTGATTGCCAACAGGGGTTTTGCCACCAAGTACTAAGTCATGTTTTGCAGAGGGGTCAAATACTTATTTCCCTCATTAAAATGCAAATCAATTGATAACATTTTGACATGTGTTTTTCTGGATTTTTATGTTGTTATTCTGTCTCTCACTGTTCAAATAAACCTACCATTAAAATTATAGACTGATCATGTCTTTGTCAGTGGGCAAACGTACAAAATCAGCAGGGGATCAAATACTTTTTCCCCTCACTGTATCTCTAAAGACATTCTCTTTTTTATTATCTTTACCTCCTCTCGCTCTTATTGCACATTTCAATCTGCTCAGATGAAAAGCTATATGTAACACTTGATATGTCAAGCTGACTTTGAGCTTTAATGTGAATTCAAAATGTCAGGAGAGCGAGCAGCCTTGGCCCCCTTCACTCCACCAACCGTCCATCAGCCACTCGTTTAATTTTGTTTAATTTCTCTCTTCCATATCTACTCCCCTCTCTCGTTCTGTCCATCCTGACCCCTGCCTTTCAGACTAGAGCTGCACTATGTGCTTTAGTGTCCCACAGGACAGGGCTGTCTGGTGTTAATCCACATGGTTCTGCCTGATAAGTCCCTGTCCCTGATCTCCCCTTCCTCTCCTCTATCCCCTCCCTTTCCCTGGGCTTTGTTGTGACAGCGCCCATTACCAAACCATGATGTCAGCGCTCCAGCACAAAGCTCTATCTGAGAGACACACACAGCCAATCAGGCTTCCTAAAGACGCCAATATTTAGAATGCCCCTCCACCTCCCACCCCTAGCTTAGTACTCCTACCTCATCCCACCCCCACTTCTCCTCTCCAGCAGACAGAAAGACAGCGAGTTCAGTTGGTCTGTTCATGTTTGCCTTGCACTGGATCTGGCCTGGTTTGAATTTGGAGCTTTGTTTGCTTTTGAATTCTCATCTCATCTCCTGCCAACAGACTGAGGAGACTGTTTGCGTACGCTTGGCTTTCACAGAGGCCCTACCCCATGTGTCTGTGTGTGTGCGCGCACGTCACTCTCCAATCTTCATCTTTAGTGACAGCACCTGTAATGACAGCAGCTGTATCAATTACCCTGATTACTGCTCTCATTACGCTGATGACTGCTGCTATGAAGGACACACACACACACAGCGCGGGAACCTGCCAGGGGGGTGTGCGTTGGAAAATCAGGAAGGGTTTGTGTAGCTTCAAGCTAATTTCTGTTTTCCGCCATGTCTGCCATCTCTAATAGCTTATGCCCTCTCCCCTGGTAGTGAGGCCATCCAAGCCCAGATGCTATGCCGAAGGCCCCACCCAGGAGGGTAAGGACGTGGTCCTGAGGTGTACGTCCAGTGAGGGGACCAACCCCCTGCAGTACACCTGGGAGAAGACCAGCGACAACAAGATTCTGCCAGCCTCAGCCGTGCTAGGTAACACACACTCGTGTAAACACACATACACACGTGTACACGGGTTGTAATTATACACTGAGTATACCAAACATTAGGAACTCCTCCTTGCGCCTGGCAAACCGGTGCGCCTGGCACCTACTACCATACCCCATTCAAAGGCACTTACAATTTTTGTCTTGCACATTCACCTTCTGAATGGCACACATACACGTCTCAATTCTCGAGGCTTAAAATCCTTCTTTAACCTGTCTCCTCCCCTTCATCTACACTGATTGAAGTGGATTTAACAGGTGACATCAATAAGGGATCATAGCTTTCACCTGGATTCACCTGGTCAGTCTGTCATGGAAAGAGCAGGTGTTCTTAATGTTTTGTATATTTTCACAAAACACGTGGTTACACAAGCCAGGTTTCACAATCCCCAGATGGAGCAGATGCTTTCAAACAGAATGGGTATTCACTGCCAATTCAAGTAAATGGACAGAAATGTTTCTGAAACGTTTTGGCTTCCTGAACGTGCCCATGTAACCCCTCCCCCCTCTCTCTGTCTGTAGACCCTGTGGGAGGTACCATGAATGTAAGGAACGCGTCCACCAGCTCCTCTGGAACCTACCGCTGCACAGCTAAGAACCGTGTGGGCATGGAGGAGTGTATTATACAGCTTGGCATCACTCCCCGTGAGTCCTTCACCACACCCTGATTCACCTTTATCTGGTCTTATTTTTTTTATCAGGCGTGCATTCGTACTTGGACCTGTACTGGCTGTATAGAGTCAAGATGGTGGGATTGTGTAATATTATAATGTATTTTTTTATGATCTGTGATCCAGCCCCCAACACTGCTGGTATCATAGCTGGAACCATCATCACTGTGCTGCTGGCCCTCATCATCATCGCCATCATCCTCTTCTGCTGCTGCCGCGCCCGCAACAGGAAGAAGTACGAGAAGGAGATCTCTTACGAGATCAGGTACGGTCACTGCATTATTACACCAGAAATACTGTGTGTGTGTGTAGGGTCCCCCAAATTCACTTTCATTGTACAGCACTGGCACACATTGCTTCAAACTACCAAACTGCTATTAGATTAGATTAGATATTTCTTTATGGTTGGATTTTCAGATATTTGCTTTACGTACAAGAATGCACTGCAATAGTGGGAGACATAACAAACATACACATTCATGAAGAACAACAGAAATGACAGCTTAAGGACGTTACTCCTCCATTCCCCATAACATAACTAACCCCCCCCCCCCCCCCCCCCGCCCTCATATACTCTATTGCACATCCCCTTAGTGTCCAGGTCACTGAGCATTGCACATAATGTTATTGCACAACCCTAACTTTCAATGTCCATGATTCCACATACAACCACATATAACAGTGTAGTATACAGTACATTACAACTATCTTAATAGCATTGTGGGAAGAGTGTATAGGTTCCTCTAAAGGTTGTCTTTTATTTGGGTTATTTGGCTGCTGTAGCCTGAGATAAAACAAAGAAAACGTGACCATGCCACGTTCTCTGGCCCCAGCTCCTCCCTATCCAGTCACACACACACACACACACACACACACACACAGCAAAGGGCCAGGAAAAAAGGTTGTCGCCCCATCAGCGACAACCTCAAGTAAACGGCTGTGTTAATCAGTTTGGGTGATTTTGTTTGTTCTGTGGATCCTGTGTCTGTCCTGCCCAGCCCCAGCCCCTCTGGACACAGCGTTCCATCCACACAGCATCCTCCCTCTCTCTCGCTGTCTTTGGGTCTGCTAGCATTAGCCTGGACTGTGTCTGTCTATCTGCCTGGCAGCACAGTGGAGCACCATAAGGATAAGCCCAATGAGCACTGTGTCTGTGCCCAGCCCTGACACACACACGGCAGCACGCATACAGACACTAATACACGCTTAGTGACATTAAGGCACACACAGACAAACACTTGTGCGCATATACGCGCGCACACACATTTACCAACATATTGAAAGCCACTGGCCCTTCAGGCTCAGTTTGATTGAGCTCTTTAATGGATTATTGCGGGTTATTATGTGTTAATTGTGTTGCTCTGGGAGTAGAAGGGGGTTGGTGGGAATGAATGTTGCTCAGTTACCACTTGAGAATCCTGATTCTTACTGTGGCTGATCAGAGCTGGTACTGCTAGAACTACATCCCATCCCCACTAGCTATCATCTTTCTCTGTCTCTTTCACAACCTTTCACCCTCTCTGTCTGTCTGTCCCTTCTCACTCACTCCGTCTGTCTGTTTCTTTCTCCCTCTTTGTCATTCTGTCTCTCCCTCTGTCTCTTTCACTCGCCTCACCCTCTCTCTCTTTCTGTCAGTCTGTCCCCTCTCTCTTTCTGTCAGTCTGTCCCCTCTCCCTCTCTTTCAGTCTGCCTGTCTCTTCCTCTCTCTTTCTGTCTGTCTCTCTGTCTTTTTCTTATATCTCATTGTTTATCTCTCTCTGACTCTGTCTGGCTGGACACCTGGGTGAAACCCAAGTGAATGTGAAAGGTGAGTGGAAAAGCTTGTCTCTTGTTGTTTACATGCCCATCTCACTCTCTTACCCCCCCTCTCAGAGAGGACGTTCCCCCTCCGAAGAGCCGCGTGTCGACGGCTCGCTCTTTCACCAGCGTGGGCAGCCAGCGCTCCTCCCTGGGCTCCATGTCCCCCTCCAACCTGCACGAGTACGCTCTCAAGCCCCAGTACGACAAGATCCCCTCCGTGGAGGAGTACGAGAGGCCCCCCAGCCACACACCCCTGCCACCGCCCGTCGCCAGCAAGATGGCCGGCCGTAACCTCAGCCGCATGGGCGGCATCCCCGTCATGATCCCCGCCCAAAACAGGGACGGCTCCATCGTGTAATGGAGAGAGCGAGAGAAGGAGAAAGGGAGAGGGATGGGAGGGTTTGGGGGACACTAGCCAGAGAGGAGGTGGGGTGTCTGGGCTGGAGAGATGGAGGGGAGGGGCTGGGGGACACTAGCCAGAGAGGAGGTGGGGTGTCTGGGCTGGAGAGATGGAGGGGAGGGGCTGGGGGACACTAGCCAGAGAGGAGGTGGGGTGTCTTGGCTGAGGACTGGGCTGACTGATTTTATATCCTCCACCACTCAACACCAACTGGGAGCCCCCACTCTGCTCTGCTCTATGGAGGTCTGGATGTGGTGCCGTACTGAGGAGAAAATAGATGCAGTACTGTACCATATCACATCAGACCCACTATGAACTATTTACTGAAGACAAAAAACAACAGATCCTTTTATGAATTTTACTTCCTGATCTTTCTGACAAGCAGACACACAAAAATACTAGGGTGGCTAGCTACATTTTAATGGTCAATTCAGAAAGGTTGCTTTGTATATAGTTGAATGCATTAAGTTTTTTAATCCAGCTGGCCCTGTCCGTAGAGGTGTGTGCAGAGCAGACCAGGGTCTCTGATTGGCCTATGGTAGGTGTGTACTGTGAAAGTTTGACAGCTGTATGTGTATGTTTCTGGGGGTGGGAAATGTACAGTTCTCCTCCACTGTCTTTGAATGAAATGCCCACAAATGTTTTTATCAAATCACTTCAGTAAAATTGTTTTTTAATATATGACATATTTGACAATAACCCCCCCCCCCCCCCCCCCCCACACACACACACACACACACACACACACACACACACATTTGTTAAATCTATCTTAAGAATAGGGTTTGCCAAAGGGATTTAAGATTTCTGCTTTTTAAATGAATTTGTTATCATGTAGTTACCTTTTTAAAGATGTTCATTCCACTGGTTGGACTGGCTGTTGTAATGGGTTGTTATTTCTACAGTTGACCATTTGAAAGGTCCAGCTTGGGCTGGGCGGGATGTACGGACAGGGTTGGTAAACGACACAGGAGGGGGAGTTAAAGCCGCCACATCTTGTGATTGGTGGATTGTTGTTTCTTTGCCGGGCTTACACCCCATCTTCCCCCTTTCTCCCCCCCCCTCTCCTCAAGTTCCTAGAACTGGCAGTGTTTTGAAGAATAGGGGAGTGTGGGGTGAAGGGTGAGCTTCACTGAATAATCATATTTGATTGTGTTTAACTGCCACCAGCTCAGGCCCCCAACCCCTCTGACCCCACCAGTACACCCCTCCCCCAACACACATTCCATATTAGCAGGACGACCGCGGTTACACTGTAAGCTATTATTAACCCTCTCTGTTGTCTAACCATCCAACCCAAAGGTCTCCCCACAGTCGTTCCCAGAAAACATTCTCTAGTTGTAACCACATACCTAGGATTCAATATCGCAATGAACCACCTCTCTCAATGGTCATTATTAAGTTAAGTGTTTCATTCATGCACCACCATTTATGAAGGATAAACGAATAAATGAAGGATGTACATGTATGTTACATGATATAATGTTAGTAAGTATGTGACATGCTATATGGAAGGAAGTGAGTGTAAAGGGGAAGAAGTAAAAGCTAGAATACTGAGTCACAGGTGTTCACAGGTTTAGGCTGCACCTACAGTACAGTAAGTCTGTTTTCCAGGGTTCCCATGCTGTACCCATGCTCTATTACTCTAATACTCAGTCACAATAGGCTGGTCTCCAGTCTTACTCACAGCCCCAGTGCTTCTACTCAGCCCAGATTACTTGTTTCTGTGATTGACATCACTGTGCCTTGTCCGTATTGACTTTTATTACACACATACTGTTGTAGCCACAAGCCCCTAAGTAGGTGTCTTAGTGGACCCAGACTCCATACTGTAAGTCTCCCAGGTTGTGTGCTAGTCTTGTATCATTGCTCTGCGCCATACATGTATGTTTTGTAGCCAACTATCATTGCCATGTATGGTGCTTGGCGCAATAGTTGGCTTCAGTACATATAGTATGGCTCTAATGGACCTGTAGTATCAGGCCTACATCAGGCATAATAACCAGTCCATGGTTCCGGATCCTGTGTAAATCTGCATCGCAGTTCAGTCAACTGAGTAGAGGTTGGTTGCTTTGTTCCCCCATCCAAGTTTCTGTCTACCTGACAGAATATTATACTTTTTTAGAAAATTACATTATCTCTGTATTTAAACTGTTGCAATGTTTAAATATTTTCCCCAAAATTGATTCATACAGTTGTTGCTTCTTTTTTTAGTCATTTATTTTTATTATTATTATTATTATTATTATTATTATTAGAATTGGTTGTATGTGTAAATATACTGTAAAAGTGACACTATCTCTAGAACTTATCCCACCACACTTACTCTAATGCTCTGGATGTATGATGATGCTCTGGCAGTGCTTTGCTTAATGTGTATCTAAAACATGATCGCTGGGTCTTATCAATAACAGTAGAGGGTGAAAGCCTGCTAATTCAGGTGGGCACTACTGCAGCTCTGTTTCAAGATCCACATTAGCATCTTACTTAGAATGAATGATTATTGGATGGATTAGCCATGTTATGGATTGTATAAGTTTGACATGGATTATTATTTTATTATATATTATTATTACATGGATGTGGGTGTCCAGATTCTAAATAGTATACTAGCATGGTTATTGAAACAGAGCCCAATTCTGTGTGTGAATAGAATGTAGTAGATTTGGGGTGGATAAAGTGGAGCCCCGCGCCTCTCCTCGTTGTGGCAGGTGTAACCTCACACCCATGGGGACAGCAGCCACATCCTCCTGCTGCACCGAGGCAGGATGTGAAGTGAAACCCACCCTATACACTACCCCAAGGTGGAAAACCTGCCAGTTCTCTCCAAGTGTGTGTGTGTCTTGGTTGTCTGGATGGGCCTGGATATAGTATTTTAGTAGAATAGACCTTCAACTGCTGACAAACTTTACAGAGCCATTAGGGAGTCATATTGTACAGTCCCTCTCAACTCCGAAAACGTAATGATAAGAACTACTAACATGATATTTACTGTAGCTTTTAAAACAAGTGTACTAATATTGTATGAAGATTTTTCTTTGGGGGTTCGTTTGCACATTGTGTGATCAAACCTGTTTAAATTTTTCTTTTTGTGCGTGTAATTTTTGTGCTGTATTTTTAAATAATAAAAGGACACAAAATGATCAAAATAGTTTGTTCTTTTGCCTTTCTTTTCCATAGCAGCAGCTGTTGACTTTGTCTTAAATCAGAGCTTTTCTCTCAGCAGCCAGCCTATCTTTATCCTCTGGGGCCCTGGCTGGCCTCCTGCAGGCTTCCATTGTGATTAATTTTAATCAGGCAGTGATTTTCACCCCTAATGGCAGTTGAGGTGACTTTCTAACCTCTAATGACTATAATTAATCAATGAAGCACAGAGGCACTACGATCAGAAACCGCCTGGCAAAAATCCACAGCTCCATTGAAACAGGCAGCACTAGAGCATTACGTATACTAGCCTGAATTAACCCTATAGGGCCAAGCCGAGCTGGACTGGACTGGCCTGGGTACGCATCCACCAGTTTATTTTTTAATTTTTTAATTTTGTTTTTTTTAGGGTGTAGATCAGCTTTAATATTGCAGATAGATTGTAACTTCCATCAATGTAATTGTCTGCATCACTTCCAATCCCCCATGTTTTTTTTCTCGCAAATATATATATATATATATATATATATATATATATACATGCATGCATGCATACATATATATACATATCCTTTAAAAATATATATTTCCCTTTATTACTTTCCAACCCCACCACCCCTTCCCTAATTGGAGTAAACTAGTGAACAACAACGCTTAGGCCTCTACTTCCAGCTTATACATACTATATACATTTTATGGACACAGTCAATTTTACAATAATTCTATTTTGTTTGTTTTTACTCATGGACTTCCTCAACCTCTCCGATCATTTTCATGATGTCCATCCGGTTTGCTTCTATATGCCATATCTTTCTAACTGTGCTCTTTCACAAAAGCTCTCAACCTATAACCTATATACTTATTATGGACACAGTATGCTTTACATGCGTTATCTTGTTGTTATTAGTTGTTGTTAGTTATTAGTCCCATCCTTCAACTCCATTCAACGCCACCCATCTATCTCTTAACACCATCCATATTGGATTTCTATTTGCCATATATTTTTCAACTGTACTGTGATGTTTTACAAAAGTTCTGCCACAAGAGTTGCTTGAGCCATGCTGGAAAGGACAATGTGAAGAAATTTTATCAGCGCAAGCACAGTGTGGTTCAGGTTGGGCGTATAGTGTGAATCAAAACTGTGTAGGGGAAACCGGGGGCAATTGTAACACCTTGAATTTCTCCAAACAGAAACAAGCTAGAGTAATGCAACTCTCAGTACATGCCCGTTTAGGTTCTCTACCTGCTAGTAAGGTTTTTGCCAAATATCTGAATTTAAAATGGCCCTGAGCCAAGCAGCCAAATTATTTAAAATAGTGATTTTAATTTTAAGATGGTATGAATTATACCAATAGTAACTTTAAATAGCCTTGGGATCCTGTAGAGTGCCAAATAAGTTGTAAACAGATGTGATCTGGGAACCATCAGACTATTCAAGATGTTTTGAGACTAACCGAATGGCCACGCACAAACGGGTGTTACTGTAAATATTGGTAATGTACATAAAAATACTTATTTCTTGCAAAATCATTACATACTGTATGTCTATGATATAATTCATAAACATTAATTTTTAAAAAGTTAATTGCACTAAAGTGTACAAATTCCTCTTCTTCCCTGCCTAAGCAAGTTCTGTCTGACTCTGGCATCATAACTGACAAGAATGAGAAGTGATGCTTTTAATCATCATTTTATCTCGGCAGACTTATTTGAAACAGTGGTTTAATTGACCCTGGTCAGTCAATCGACTGCTCTTCCCTCTGCCAGCCTCTAGCTGACTCGACGGTTAACCCGTCAACTTCTAGTGAATCTTTGTTTTCATTTTAACAATTGACTTTCTGTG